CGCCCCCCCCCCCCGCCAAAAAAAAATAAACAAAATGGAGGCAAGCAAGTTACCCTATACAGATTTCAAGACAATGGTTGTAAAGATGCTCAAGGAACTTAGTGAGAACTTGAACAAAGAGCAATAATAAAAAATGGCAAAGAAATCATTAAAAATAACCAGTCAGAAATGAACAACACCATATCTGAAATGAATAATACAGTAGGGAATAAAAAACTGGCTAAATCCCAACATAGGAGCATCTAAATTTATAAAGCAAATATTGATGGACATAGAAAGATGAACAGTAATACAACTATAGCAGGGGCTTTTAATACCCCCACGGACATCAAAAGATAGATCTTCCAGACAAAAATCAACAAGGAAACAGTGTCCTTAAATGACACACTAGACCAGATAAATCTAAGTGATATTTGCAGAGCAGTTCACACCAAAGCAAAAAATTCCCTAACCTGGTGAAGGAAAAAGACACACATATTCAGGAAGCACAGAGTGTCTCAAATACGATGAAGCCAGAGAGGCCTAAGACACATCATAATTAAAATTGCAAAGGCCAAACACAGAGACAGAATCTTAGAAGAAGCAAGAGAAAGAAAGCAAGTTACTAAAAGGGAGTTCCCAGAAGACTGACTTTAAAACAAAGGTTATAAGAAGAGACAAAGAAGGATATTACATCATGATAAAGTGGTCATTCCAACAAGAGGATATAACCTTTGTCAACATTTATGTACCCAACATAGGAGCATCTAAATTTATAAAGCAAATATTGATGGACATAGAAAGATTAACAGTAATACAACTATAGCAGGGGCTTTTAACACCCCCACGGACATCAAAAGATGGATCTTCCAGATCAAGGCTATCATTTGAAATTGAAGGTGAAATAAAGAGCCTCCCAGACAAGAAAAAACTAAAGGGGTTCATTAATACCAAACCAGTATTATAAGAAATGCGAAAGGGTCTTCTTTAAGAAGAAAAAAGAGAAGCACAGTTATAAATAATAAAATGGCAATAAATATGTACCTATCAATAATCACTTTAAATATAAACTTATTAACCCCTTGAGTGCTGGGGAGCGCAATTGCGCTCCTCCTGTCTTTCGCCAAAAGTGCCGGGAGCACTATCAAAGCTTCAAAATGGCATCCAGTTCTAAGTCTGCTTTTATTGGTGATGATGATATTGCTAAATATGTCAATGTAGTAAAGGTTTCCTTAAGTTTTTGAATATTTAACTTCATTTACTTGCGATTCATAATTCTTTT